CTCATTCTGAATTTAAAATTCAGCCTTTGTGTGTCTCACTCTTGCCTGCTGCATACAGGAGTGCAGAGAGGCTGCCCTGGCTCAGGTAGCATTGCTCTCTCAGTTGAGAGGGGCTGTTGCTGAGAATAGGGACACTCTGGAGCATCTGGAGGACCAGTGGAGCAGTGCTGCCCAGGATGCAGCTAATATTATTCAGAGTAAGGAGGCTCAGCTGCAGATGGTGACTGATTATTGCCAGCACATCCAAACAGCTAAGAATGCGGTGGACAAAGCAACCGCAGAACTGGACGCTCTTCAAACGTGAGTTGCCATCCGATGGTTTCATTTTAGTCCTTAATACTTGTATTTTAAGATATTTTAACACTTTTTATTTCACACATTGTCATCTTCCTTTGTCTGTAAAACTAACTGATAAGCCCCTAAAATCTTTTACAATTTGTTGCGGCAAACTTTTTGTTGTTTTTCTTTCAGATCCCCTCAGGAGAGCAGCTCCAAGGAGGCAGAGCGACTAGGCTCCTTACAAAGAAGTATGGAGGAGAACAGAACAGCACTTGGGGAGCTGCTTGTGACTCATAGCAAATTGTGCCCCCACCTTACCCGGTATGAGCGAGCAATTGCAGAGACTGAGCAGAAGAACCTACAAGAGAGGTGGAGAGTTCTGGAAAGAACTGTGGAGAGTATGCTTCATCACACACATGTCCGTTCTCACAAGACCAGCAACCTCCTGTCAGAGTTATCAGATTTGCAGGAACACTTGGAAATGATCATTAAAGACCTTGAAGCCAAGTTTCCATCAGTTACTCAGTGGAACTGCAAGAAGGCTCGACAACTGATGGAGGCAAACGCTGAGGTTAAAGCAGCCCAGCAGAAGTACCTCCATTTACAACAGCTGTCAGAGCTGTTGCTATTTAGCCCACAGTGGGAGATGGAAACAAAGGAGATCCATCAGGGACTCCAGAGCGTTAAGGACAAAATTTCTCATACAGAGGAACTTTTGGCTGCCCAAACCCTGAACAGCAACAGCCCTATCATGGAGAAAATTGTCATAGTGATGAGGGAAGGCCTGGCCTGGGCCAGGCAGACAGAGAGTGATATTGAGGGCAGGAAAAAGAGAGTAGCTCTTCTCCCTGAGGAAGTTCACCGGCAGCTCAGGGATCTGAAGAAGCTGCAATCTGAGGTGATGGCCAAACAAGGTCAGCTGGAGTCACTGGCGGAGGAAATGACTGAGCTCCTTCCACAGCTGGACCAGGTTGAAGAGGTGCCTATGGTGCAGAGTCTTCTGAAATGTCTTGAAGAACTCTCAAAGTCCACCAATGAGAAGCTGTCCAAAGCTGTGAAAGAGGTGGAATCAGGACTACAGACCAGAGAAAAGCTATCTGAACAGATTGCTGATCTAGACTCCTGGGTTGTGGCTCATCTGCAAAGAGAAGCATCCCGGGGTCCAGACAGTGAGCTCAGGAGCCCTGCTGAACTTGATCGCAGAACCCGCCAAATCCAAGAAACCCTGGATGAGGCTGAGAAGCAGGAAGCAGTCTGTGAGGCTCTTTTTATTAAGAGCAAAGATATCACTTCTGAATTCAGTGTCACAGAGAACTGTCAGCTTTTTGACAAGCTTACCAACCTCCAGGAGAAAATCAGAACCATTAGCAGCCAAGAGAAAAATAACAAGAAGGAGCTGAATGAACTCACCCAGACTTTAGATTCAAGCAAGAAAAAACTTGTCACTGTTGAAAACAGTCTAAGGCAGATGTTGGTGGATCTAAGCAGACACAGGTTCCCCATTACAAGAGAGTCCCTGCAAGCTTTAGAGCCTTTCAAGCACATGATTTTGGAACACAAGTCGCAAGTTGACCTCCTGCAACCCTGGATTCCCAATGAGAAGACAAAAGAACTGAACTCTGTCATCTCTGAGCTGCACAGCAAAATGTGTGCCCTAGAAATGAAAGCCAGGGACCAAGAGAGGTACCTAAACATGAGGCAATGCGTTGAGGATCTCAGGGAAAGCATTCAGGAACAGGTGCACCAGACAAAAGAAGATGGCAATGACACAGACGAGAAGTACAGAATCTGTCAGAACCTTCTTATCCAGTTTCATCTGATGAAGGGATTGTGTGAAGAGGCTCGCTCAAAACTACACACAATCTCTGCTGACCTCTACCCTTCACAGCTGACTGCAGAGCAACAAAGGCTTAAACAAAATGAGGAGAGTCTTAGCACCTTGGAGATGACACTCTATAACAACCTCAGCATCATTGAGTGGAACCTGCTGATGGACCTGGACCTGGAATCAGAGAGGAAAGCCACTAAGGCCTTCCTCTTAAAGACCCAGAAAGAGTTTGAGAAACTTCCCATGTTGGAGCCAAATGACACAGCAATTGACAGAGAATATGAGAGAGTGGTGTCTCTGACAAAGACTGTGGAGTCAAGAATGAGAGCACTGGGGGTGCTGGAGCAAAAGAAGGGAAAGAAAAAAAGAAGTGGATCTCAAGACTTGATGGACTTGAAGAATGCAGTCCTCGGTCAATGTGAATCCCACATGGCAAGTAGTGTTGAGTATTTCTCAATTTGTTTTTGCAGTATTTTTTTAATTGCTTTGTAATAAGCTTAGCCAATCAGAGTGAAGCATATGTTATATTACTATGCAATACAGCTGAATTAACCCTCCACAATAGTTAGATTTGTTCATTTGTGTCTTTATGTGCCAGTAGGTATAAATATAAAATAACAATTTCAAACTTAGAGAGCATCAGCAATACTACACCATATTTGGTAGAGCAGTATGGAGCAAACACCCTCTCAGTCTTGTCATTTTGAATATAGTCTATACAAACAATGTGTTCTTTTTCACAGTTTTAAAGGTTATTCAATGTTCAGTTTGAAAGAACAAACCGCAAAAGCAAAATACAAAGCAAAGGAATTACGCAGATGGTTTAAAAAAAAACTACACTATGGAGTGAACCTGCCAATCTGAAAAAATGTGTTGTTTGTTTTCCTATTGTTTTAGGAGAACATCACTCAGGCCAGGGAGTCACTGAGAAGCTACACCTGTTCTGTTAAACAGGCTGTACAGTTCCTGAGGGATATTGAGGTGTCTATGCTGCCACCTCAGGGCTCTGCTGGGGTCTGCGGTGACAGAGTCGAGGAGACCCAGCAGGCTTTGGCCTCACTCCAGCAGCAATTTCAAATTCATGTGGAACAGCTCCAAGACCAGACTGCTCTGCATCCATACCTGTCCCCACTGAAGGTGGAGCAGCTCCAAGAGAGTATTCTGAGCCAACTCCTGGTGATGATGTCCACTCTGCAGGCAAAGGGCCATGTGAAGTTGGAGTGTCTCAGCAGGTACTCAGCTCAGTCCTAAAAGTCAGATTTATCTTCCTGAAAAGCTTTTTTTGGTAGAAGTGTGTGATTGCACATGCAAAGATAAAACAAAGAAATAATGATAGTTATCTTTCTTCTTATTAGTTTTGCTAAAATACCAAATACTTTTGGTTTCATCTGACCACGGCACTTTCTCCCAAGCCCTCTCTGATCGTTTAGCTGTTCACTGGCAAACTTAAGACAGACCTGTACGTGTGGCTTCTTGAGCAAGGGGACCTTGCAGGTGCCACAAGATTTCAGTCCATTACAGTGTAACGGGTTACCAGTGGTGTTCTTGGTGACTGGTCCATCTGCTTTCAAATCGTTAACAAGCTCCTTCCCTTTAGTTTTGAGCTTATCCACCCTCCTTCTCATGATCATCCTCATTTCACGAGACAAGATGTTGCACGGAGCTCCAGACTGAGGGACACTGATGATCATTTATATTTCTTCCATTTACGAATGATCACACCAACAGTTGGCAACTTCTTCCTGTTCACCCATTGAGCTAAACTGGTGCCCACAAGTAACAGTTATTTATCAAAAAAAAAAAAAAACTTCACTCGCTGCATTGCAAATATTTTTTTTTCTTGCTTAGCTATTTAGCATTTTTCAAACACCATTTTACTACATTTACTAAACAGTCATTGCACGATAGAAACTACAAGACCTGCAAATGGCATTAAGCTGCAGAGCCTTTGTGAATGTGAGCCCTTATTTTAAATCTGACACTAAAAGATCAACATATTTGTCTTTCAGGTGTGCAGAGCAGCACAGAAATTACATCAAGTGCAAAGAAGAAATCATGCAGAGCGTGAAGAGTACAGCGAACAGGCTCTTACAGCTCATCACTCAGAAGGTCACCTGTCTCACTGACTGCACTGACCAGGAGGCAAATCTTAGAGTGAGTATAAACCTCCTCTGAAAAAACTTTAATGCTTTTGTGGATAAAAGTTGAAAATTTCCACACAGAAACAGAATTCATTTTTACTGATACCCCTAATCAGGCACTTGCAGAGGAGATGGAGGCCCTCCTGAGACGTCTGGAAGAGCTGCAGGAGTGGTGTTCAGAGCAGAGCTGTCGCGGAAGCAGGGAGACCCCCATGACTTGTATCTGGAGATGGGTATTAAGACTACGTCACTGCACACAGGAGCTGACAACTCGTAGCAAACAGAGAATCAGAGAATGGAGTGATATCTCAGACAGCGTAAGTTTACATTGACATGTGTTTTGAGCATTTTTGAGCATGCTTAGCTAACCCTAATTATAAATGGCCAATTTTGTTGGGTTCTTCCTCTCAGGTGGAGAAGGCCTCTGTGTTACTGCAGGGAGTGGAGGCAGAGCTTCCTGACAGCTCCAAGGTGAAGGCATCTACCGAGGAGCTTCAGGACGTGCTGCAGTCCTGGGAACAGTACCAGGACAGGCTGGACTGTGAACACAGAGCGCTGTCTGCACTGGAACTGCGCACTGCCAGGCTGCTGGGTGTCCCTGCCCACCTGGAGCAGGCTCCTCCTATTCAACTCTGTCAGCAGCTGCAAGCAATGCAGGGCCGATATGACAAGTGAGATATTGTTTGATGTGCAACTCATTATTCTGTTTGCAAGTTTTTACTCCCTTTATGTTTTGATGTACTCTAAATGAAACTACAGTCCAAGTTTGAAATTTGCAACTTCTACCAACATGCATAACTGTGCAGGTAATTACAACCACCAAAATAATCTTTTGACTCCAGCAGCAAAATCAGATCCATTTAATCCTGGAACATTCACCACACAAAGGCTGAAAGACCTGACTTAAAACTATCATTGTGGCTCTGGACAATGTGTGGTCTCGTGTATAATCCATCTGTAATAAAAGAAGAGCAGTGTCATGTTTCTAAAAAGGAGGACTTTCTCCGTCCTACAAGATACATATGTGTTTAGTGATGCAGTATGCTTGAGAAATAAGAGGAGTTTTGTAGTATTAAGAAGGCATTGATACTTTTCCTGACAAACTTTCATTGCTCTCCTCTTTCATATGCATAAATGAGCCATGTTCATTATGATCTCTGTTCTTTAGACACACAGAGACTAAGTTACCCATAAGTCCTGGTTAAGTAGTCAGCTTTAAGTAGGTTAGTCATAGAAGGCAATTGGTGTGTAAGGTCTTCCCAGCTTACACTTGGCATTAGGATCCATATGTTGTATTCAATAGTCATGTTGTATTCAGTCATTTTCTTATGGATGTTAGGTAAGCAGCCGTAAAGTTGCTTAGCTTCTGTTTAAATGGCTGGATGTTTGTGTGTTTTCACAGTGTGAAGCAGAGAAGCAGGGAGGGTTTGCAGGCAGCTAGGCAGGAGCTGGAGGACAGAGAAAAGGTGCGAGAGGAGCTGCAGGGTATCCGGGTTTGGCTGAAGGCTGCTGCATCTCTTCTGACAGAGATGGAGCAGAGCAGCAGCACACAGGAGCTACAGGTGAGACTCTTGAGTTCTTGTTTTTCAGAGTTACATCACACCTGCACACGGTTTTGTGGAGTTCTTTGAAGTTCCTTCTAAAACTTGCTTTACATTTCAATACATTAAGTGTGATAACACGACTTGCCATTAATTTTTTCACAAGGGCACACAAAGTGTCATTCATTTTTTGACAGAGTAGTTTTTGTGAATGGTCATGCCAGTCATTGAACCTTGTAAGGTTACATAGCCTAGATCTGTCTTAATTTTTCAATGATACCATAAGTTTTGCATGTCGATGACTAAAATCCACCATGAGCTGGAAATGCAGTTATATTCCTCCCCAAAAGAATTTTGGAGATGAGTAAATCATCCCCAACTGCGAATTAAACCTTTGTAGAGAAAAGAAAACACTAGTGAAATTTAAGTGTTTCTAATTAGGCAAGCCATTCCTCTGGTTCACTGAAGGACCTCTGGGTATATCGAGGTCCCACTTTGTAATCCTCTAATCTAAAAACACATCAGTGTGCTCACAGTTTCTCGCTCCGTCCCAGCCACTGGAGTGGAAATAATCAGCCTCTAATGAGACAGGACAGTTTCATCATCTGAAATGAAACACAATGATGCATTTGTACTCAGTGTAACATCATAGCTATTTTTATAATGATTCACTTGTCTTTGCTCTCAGTTAGAAAAGTTACACTCAACAGCATGACAACAACTAAACACTGAGAGTGATGCTTATACACTGCTCAAAGAAATTAAAAGATTAAAGGAACAATTTGAAAACACATAAAATCTCAATGGGGGAAAAATCATGCTGGATATCTATACTGGACAATGTGTCAGGAACTGAAGGACGTGACGTGATTTGATGAAAATAAAAAATTATGAACCTACAGAGGGTTATATTCAAAGACACCCAAAATTCAAAGTGAAAAAAATAATAGAGCAACCTGGCCGAGGTGCTTAGAGTAGATGTAATAGAAACAATAAGGGCCCCAATACAGAACCTTGTGGCACACCACAGCTAAGAGGACAGGATGAGCACTGGTATTTAGAAACAGCCACCAAAAGACTTGTTCAGAAAGATGTGATGACAATCACTCCAAAGCAGATCTAGATACACCCACCCAATTGTTCAGCCGCTCAAGCAAAATGTGGTGGTGAACAACAAAGCAGTTGAAACTGATTAACAACCCCCTTCACTGCTTAAGTGAATAGATCAATATCCCAGAAGTTTAAATACTTTTTTCTATGACAGCTGATAGGAACTACTTTGCAGATATTATAAGGATGTTTACCACAGATTTGGTCAGAACTCTCCCAAAGCCTTACTGATGAATCCAGGAATTAGTCATCAGGGCGTTTCTACCCCTAACCTTAATGAATATAGAGTGAAGCAGCTTGTTGGCTGTGTAGTAAAAGTGTCACTAAATATTAAATCTTTCAATCTAACCGTTGGCTTGGCTTCAGACCCAGAAGCTGTTTGGTGCTTGTGTCTATGAACCCACCAACCCACAGAATCACTCTGCCCTTTGTCCTGAAACCTGAGCAGAGGCCAACATCTCATCCACTCCAGCTTTCTATTCAAACACACACACACACACACACACACACACACACACACACACACACATACACACACATATAGAATTACATTTTCTGAAAGCCCCCTTTTTCGTAATCAACTGTCTCCCCCCCCCCATCACTCCCTCCGCCCTCATCCTGCTCTTGTACCAGACACCTTTTGTTCTGTCTTGTAAGTGGATCTTCCAGGTGGCCGTTGTAGCCAAGTCATTTCATAGGCACACACAAAGACACACACATTTCTCCTGCTGCACTTGTGAGGATACTCATTGTCATATGTTGATGTATTTTAGCTTTTAGCTAACCTCAGTGTAAAACTAACTCACTCTAAAATCAAATGCTAACTTTTCAAACATCCCTTTGTCAGAAGCAGGAATAAAAATATCCTCACTTTTCTAAAATATATAGAGTTCATTAAATATCTTTATTAAAGACAGAGACCATTAAAAAATATATATAAATTTCCTCAAATATGAATTTTGCAAAATTACACAGGTTTTGCAATTATGTCGTCTCTCTTTGTTAAAATCTCTAAATGTTCTACATTGACCTCATGTGTTTTAAATCTAGAATGACCTCAGATGGCTTCTTAATTAAAAAATGTTCTTATTCCATAAAACACTATTTGATCTTTACAAAGATAGCTATAGGACACACACACAATTCGCACTCTTCATCTCCTGTTCTCTCATGCAAAGAAACTGTCTCTGCATACCCTCTCCTCCTCCCTTGCTTGTTTAACACACACACACACACACACAAATGCACACACAAACACACACACACACACACACACACAAACAACACACACACACACACACACACAAATGCACACACACACACAGAAGCTCAGTTTCCCATCGTGATATCAAGATGCGCCTCCCCGTATAGTAGACCATCGGACGCTTTCAGACCCAGGTAGTCTCCACTGTGTTATTTGTCATATTTTAACTTTTTTCTGATCTTTATATTGTTTTTATTGTGCAGTAGAATCATGGTGAGGTGAAATGAGTTCACTTTTAAGTATTTTGTAAATGAAGGAGTGAGGCAGACTGTGTTTGACGGCAGCGCAGCAGGACACAGCGAGAGGACGGCTTGACAAGGAGCTAAAAGCTTACAAGAAGGACTTTCTTTAGTGAGACTTGTACATAAGACTGATATTTTGTGCCAAAATAAGATTTCTGCTCTGCATAAAATGAAACCCCCAAACTGTAGACATCTATGCAAAAGAAATTGCTGATGTTGGTTAGAGAGTCAAGTGTCAGCATTTTTTAAAGCATCTGCTTACAAGTGTTATTTGATAGAGGAAACTCTCTTTGGTGCTAAGTACAATGACCCAAACAAAATAGTTTATGGTTATGATGAGTCATCAAGAAAATCCATCAATATTACTGTTGTTATGATTAGTTTTCTCTTCTAACAGACTCTTCAAAACACTTATTCTTTCTTGTTATTTATTTGTTAATATCTTTTGTAATCCCTTTTATTTAAAAGGCTGCCTATCTGTGTGGTTTCAGGCGCTCTACAGCCAGCTGTGTACCCAGAAGTCTTTGCTGCACCGTATCATGGAGAACCTGAAGATGAAATACTCAGATATGTACACTTTGGTCCCGGTTGAGATTGACAGCCAAATACAGGACATCACTAAGTCTCTGCAGCAAGTAGAAGAAAAGGTGAAAAAGGCTTAATTTGGACATTTTAATGATGAGGAGTGTATTGATCCTTTAAGAGATCAATAATCTATTGATAGGCAGATGTTTGTAACAAAACAATAAATTCAACATCCATTTAGGTCTAGCTGATAATATTTTTTCCTGACTGTTCCATCAGGTGGGAGAGGCGATAGAGAGGAGCGGTCCTGTTCACAGGTTAGGCGCGAGGATGTCTGATATCGAGGCTGGCCTGAGATCTGTTCAGAAGAGACTGGAACAGAGGAGTCCCACTGTGACTCAAGCAAAGATCACTCAGAAGGTGGGGAGTGATGAGGAAACAGGGTGTCTGGTTCATTGTTACAGCTTGTTGAGTAGAATACAATAAATCATTATTAAATAGATTGTAAGAGGGTGAGGGAAACATAACAGGATGTCCAATATAATATTTGTCCTCTGCTGGCCAGAAGATCCGTGGTAAGTTTTACTGACCTCTTTGTACTGTTTGGGATGCGTCTTTGCTGCCTTCTGTGTGTGTGTGTGTGTTTGTGTGTGTGTCATGTTCTACATGTGTGATCACTTCGCTGCTCTTTTGTTGAGAAAACACAAGCCGTTTGGGCTGAGTCTTGTTTTGTTTTCTTTTTTATGATTTTTTTTTTTGCGTACATACAGTCAGCGTACATCTATTTCTATTTTCAGTTTTCATGCTGCTTTGATCCTCCTACTCTGTTTTCAAATACACCAACAAATTCCACTTTCTTTTCGTAGCATTATGTGCGTCTTTTCATGTAAAATATAGATTGCAAAAACAGAAATGACTCTTTAGCGAGGACTTGCTTCACAAGTCAACTGTGAGTGAGGGAAACACTTTCTGAAGGGGGCTGGCTAATCAGCTTGTGTGTCAGTGAATAAATATTATAAATCTCCCCTTGTGTGTGTGCTCAGCGTGCCTGGGACGAGCTGGATGCGTGGCACTCGCGTCTGGCAGCGCTGGAAGTGGACATGCAAGACTTAGAGAAGCCTGAGGAGGTGCTGATCCTCACAGAAAGACTAGTGGAGGTTCAGCAGCTTCACTCCCAGCTGGCCAAACAGGCAGAGCAGAGGACCACCCTGATCAGCAAGGTGAGAAAAGCTTCCTAAAACTGTTAGCTGTCCAACTCCTCACTGCCCTGCTGTATGGTTTGTCTGCTTAGTGTCAAACACCAAAAATATAAAGACTTTGAATCACCAAGCTCAGACTTTTTAACCTAAATCTTCCACATTACTGTCTCTGTTATCATCTGTGATACTTTTGATAAGTTTAAAAATGTCTAAGCTTTTCCCCATTTAAACGTTCTGTTTCTCTTTAGATTCAAACGTGGCTTCAGGAACATCAAGAGATGGTCAAAAGCTCCAAGAGCTGGATGTCCGAGGCTCAGTCGTGGCTTGCCGCTCCCTGCACCTACACCACAGCTAAATGTTTGAGCAGTCACGTTCATGCCCTGCAGGTCGGTACACTCTGCTGTCTGCACAGCTCTTTCCACAGCACAGCAAACCATTTTGTGGTGATTCATTTTTAACCAAAAAAATGCTCTTTCTGTCTCTTGGGGATGCAGCTGGTCCTGGATGATTCAGTCCAGATCAGAAACACACTGCAGGGCTTCAGCTCGGTCCTGAAGGAAATGTCGCAGGTTTGTGATGTCACAGCTCTCCAGGAACAGCTGGTTGAAGCAGATCGCCAAGTGGCCGACGTTCAGGACAGCTTCACAGCTCCTCTGTCTCAGCTGGAGCATGCTGCCGCTGTGAGATTCGATTGGTTTCTTTGTTTTACTCTTCAGTGGATATTATCTAGACTGTACTCTCTACTGTCAGACTAGACTGATAATGTCTTAACCTCTAGGAGGTGGAGGCGATTGAGAGTGAAGTCAAGCGGATGGAGAATGATGTCGCAGAGATCAAGAACTTGCTATCTTCTCCAGAGAGTTTTCCCAGCCCCAGAGAGGACAGTTTAAAGGTTTGTTAGTTTCTTTGTTTTCATTTGGATTAGCGTGACGTGATTGCCCAAATTATACAAAAGGATAAATGTAAAAGTCATCATTTTCTTATTTTTCTCAACCCTCTTCTATGTGTGCAGGCGGTTGAGCAGAGGATCCAGTCGATGAGGAGAACAGTAGCTGAGATCCAGAAATGTAAGCCAGGCCTTTGTCTTCCTGAGAAGGCTGAAGAAACTCTGACTGTCTTTACTGTGGTGGACCAGCTCCAGACTCTGCTGCTGGAACTGGAGAAGGTCAGTTAGTTAATCCATCAGTCAGCTGCTCAGATATTTTATCTACAAGAAGATTGGTGCGAACTTTCTGCTTCACTCTGTTTGTAGAAGGTTCCTGCGTTATTTATCCAGCAGCCTCCAACTCCCACACAAGCCAAAGCTCAGGCGGCCCAACAGACGACCACTGAACTCAAAACATCTGCATCTGAAAAAGCTACATCTGAGGAGGCTGAGGTGAGCTTGGTCTATAAATAACATAAATAAGTAAACAAAAATTTTAAAAATCATGAAACATCACTGTTACATGAATTATAATATGTATAAAACTACAAAAAAATGAAAGTGAATGTCACTTAAGTTCTTTATTATAATGCAAGTTATTTTACAATGGCAGCGACAGTAGTTGAAGGATAAAGTTCAGTTATATTGTGTCAGTCATTATGTGATATTCCAAACACTTCATATGTGGAACATAATTTAAGCGAACCTGTACGGTGTGCTTTCTCTCAAAAGGAAGAGCAGGGTCAGATCAGAATTGCTCGTGTTGAGGAGGATGTACTGCGGAGGTCTGGAGCTACACTGCTCACTGTGGAGCAGTCGTCACCTGAACAAAGGCAGGCCCCAACACCTGATATTACCCAGGTAAGAATACCATGGACAGAGAAAAAAAAGAAGCTTATAATCACACAGTTAATTCATTAAGTTCATTGAAAAAGCTCTTTTTTATGTCACATACCAGCATACAAGAACACCTGCAAAAAATAAAAAAGCAAAGAAATTGAACAGATTGGCCTTTTGGGGCGTGTCAGGACAAAGTGTGCAATACCTGGTACTCGCATGCGTAGTTCCCACATGTGTTATTAACAAATTGGTAAAAAATTTAAAAAAAAATCCCCAAAGTGTCATTTAACTTCCTGTGCATGCTTAATATTACTAATGTTTACCAAGAAATGTTTTTTGTTTGTTTGTTTGTTTGTTTGTTTTGTGTGCATGTGTGCGTGTGTGTGTGTGAGTGTTCAAGACATTTCAAGTACTCAGACTAGGACAATTGTGCACTCATTAACAGAAAGATATTTTAATTATTGACAAGATTAGTTTGAACTTAGAGAAAATAATTTGAATAAATGATAAAAAAACAACAATAAATATTGAAGGTTGGCAAGATATGTAAAATACTTCAAGTAAATATGTTGCTTCAATTATCTGCATTGTAACCTGCTCAAAAAATGGACACTTTTTAATCAGGTCAGTTATACTTCTCGGATGTTGATCTGGTCAGTTAAGTTGCAGAGAAAGTTTTCTGTGACTCCCAGCCCGGTTTCAAGAGAATGGGGGAGTTTCCAGGAGACAGGCAGTTACTCTAGGACAGCTGAAAAAAAGGACAAAGAAAGTCCTTAACCCATGAGCAGCTTGCATCAGCACCACATGCTACAAAATGATCTCCAGCAGGTCACTAGTGTGAGTGTCTGTAACCAAAAAATCAGGAACAGACTTCATGAGGATGGCCTGAGGGCCCACGTCCTGGAGAAGCCACAGAGAACATTATGCTGCTTGTAACATTGTTCAGCATGACCGATTCGGCTATGCATGGGTCAGTGATGGTCTGGGGAGGCATATCCATGGAAGAACACACAGACCTCTACAGGCTAGGCAGACCCTACACTGGTAGAGTGAATCCTGGGTTTCTCCTGGTGCACCACAATGCCCAGCTTCATGTGGTGAGAATACAGAACAGCTCGGGGACATTATGGGAGGTGAAACCAGCTGTTGCCTTTTTGGGAGCATACACCAGTGTTGTCAGGCATACATACAAGCATCCAAAGGCCATGAAAAAACTACTGAGTAGCTGGTTGAGTTGCTACAAAGCATTTGACTAGCCTGACACAAATTCTTTTACTTTGATTTTCAGGGCGTGTTTGAATTGAGCCAGCTGTAGGCTGATCCTTTCCAGTTCAATTTTTTTGAGCAGTGTATTTACTAGAAGCTTCAAGTAGATATAACATTATGAGTCATATCAATTTAAGGCTTTACAGGGAAGCACAAGCTCTATTTTGCACATCTAAGAAGTCTTCTACTGTTGTATAACTTGTTAGTGGCCATTAAAAACAAAATGTTAATTTTACTTAATATCAAAGAAAATATTGGAAACAATAAAAACTCAAAACTGGCCAGGCTAGATTTTTAACCCCCACTTGTGTCACTCTACACATACCGTGTTTCCGTGTCAGCAGCGGAAGCATCAAGGCGTGCTCCAGGCTGAAGAAGCCACAGAAAAAAAAAGCAGTGAGGAACAGAGAGTGGAAGAAGGTGGAGGAGGTTTTTATTGGTGGCTCTGGGATGTTTTCCTGGGCTCTTCACCAGAGGTAAAGATGAGTGAGAGCTGCTGTGGAAAATCAATAAATCTCTGTTCTTCCTCTGTCCTTCACTCGTTTTCAACAGTTCTTTTCCTGGTGGAGTTCTTTGTGACCCGAGGTCACCCGCTTAGGGTGTAGGTGGGCGGGATCTGCTATAATAACTTCCCTCGCAAGTTGTGGAACAAATTATAGGAAAAGTTTGAAATTTTTAAAACTGATAACACACCTGAGACCCAATGACTGATCATGACATCACGATTCCCACCAATCCAGTCAAATGACATTATTTGTAACAGCTGTATGAATAGTCGCTGCCATTCTTTGAGCTGGGTCACTCTGATCTCCACCGCTGGCACTGTCCCCTCACCCTCCTCATCCCTACTACCATCTCCCTACTCATGATATTAAATTCCTTCCTGATCATTAATACATCTCTGCTATTGCTGCAGATTTGAGTTATTTCTTTTCCTTCTTCCACCCTACTGCACACTGGATTTAGTTGATCCATATGACAGTATCAAACACGCATATGGATGTATTACAGATGGATACTGTGTTACCTTAGATGAATGAATTCATTTTACTCAAAAATGTTTTTTATTTTCAGCAGCTTAACATTTTGGTCTGCTTGGTTATATAGAAGGCTATAACATTTGTCATTGTGGTGTCAGGAACCTGTGGTTGTTGCCTCAGAAGAGACTGAAGCTGCCACTGGACAAAGCACTGAACAGCCTACAGAAGACACAAAGGTAAATAAACTTTCATCAGTGAGAAGCCACTGAGTGATGAATTAGTAATGAATTTAATAAGTATTTCATGGATACATCTTAAGAGCCCAAAAAAGAAGGCATCATCACATGGGCCAAGATATGAAAACATGTGTGGGTCAGTACCATCAGGGGTTTTAGGTGAAATCACTGTGAGACCTTGCCCCAGCCTATTGTGTGATGTATTGAGGTCACCTTAACCCCTTAGCAGTCCTATTAGTCCCCTAAACCATCCAATGTCCCGTGGGCGGTACGTCCGACTGCTAACAGTTTAAGTAAGGTGTGAGTGGAGGTTGAGGATTGGGGGTTAAGGCGCCTGGGAAACCTGTAGTGGTAATGACCCATGTCTTTTTTCACTTGTTAGCTCATGTGGTGATAACTCCCACCAGGGGTTAAATACCTGGGATCCACCTTATGGTTTTAGAACTGAGGAAGCTTCTTGGATGAGAAGTCCTTCTTTTTCAAGCTCTTGAGACTGCCGTGACCTTTATAACTGAGAACCTACACGGACGTATTCTTGGGCAAATGCAATGCTGTTTTTAATCAAATATGGTAGAGAATGAAAATAATAAAAATCAAGAATATCTTAAGCCATCATGTAAGTTATTAAAAGATTTTTTATTTTGGACTGCTAAACCGTTTTGGTCATTGTTTGAATAAGTGGGCACAAAAATTACAGTGTAACAAAATTTTTTTCTAGTTTTAGTTTTAACATTTTTTTTAAACTTGTAATGAATTTATGACTAAGCCTTTATGTATATAATATATACATTTGTGAGTATATGTATAGAAAACAAAGACGGCATTACATTGTGTTATTGATTTGAGGTTTTATTGGCAAAAAGGATTGAAAATAAATCAGACTCATTGCATTTCTTTTTCATAATACAATGAGTTGTACTAGATAACATCAAAAATCCTCTAACATTATGTAACATAGTTCCTTAACAGAGTGTATGAGTAACCGTGTGATATCTTATCTGGTGACATGGTAGAACTAAGTGGTCAATGTATTTAACTGACTGACCTGAGTGAGCTTCTAACCCTGATCATATTTCTTCAGGATGTTGAGGGCACCACTGACACCACAGAAACAAGTTCATCTGAAGCTTTATCAAAACCCCTGGGCGCAGTCACAACTCAGTCACTGCCTGAGAGTATGGTAAACACATCGCCGACCGTAAAAGTCTCCAAATCCAGCTCTGGGTCACAGCAGAAATGTGTAGTCTCCTAGATCTAGAACTTGTAGAACTGCATCTTTTTTTTCTCATCAATCTAAACCTAGAACCATTTCTGTGCAAAATCTCCAAGCACACCTCAAAGCGAGCCTAGAGGCCACTGTTTGAAGACTTATAGACCTTTCATGTCTTTGCTGGCAATAACGTCTACGCAGCATCGTAAATCTGTCACCTTTTTCTGGATCTAGTTTGAAAACAGTTCTAGAATCAAGATTTCTATTCTTTCTCTATAGTCCCCTAGATTGATTCCTCCAACTTTTTCTATTCTAGCCTCTATTTCTGAGCCACTAGATGTTGGATTGACCTCCCACATTACTCCAGACCAGAGGCTTTACTGCCTTCTGTTGTACTCATATTGGGAGTCATTTCTTTTTTTGAGCGAGCGGCAGCGTCTCGCTTTTCTCAAAATAGTGGTTTTGTAAAGCCTTTGTAGAATCAAACGACTCCTTTACAAGAAACAACTCTAGAACACCTACTTATCATTGAAATCATTTAGAGTACCCCTCTCCTCTAGAATGTTGTAGAACGAGTCCTGTTTGTTCCTGTTTTTCTTTGACAGCAAAACTTAGAGCTCCTGTCTTCTTGTAGAAGTAAACCAAGGACACTTTTTCTTCTAGAACCAGTTCTAGAGCTCCTGATGTTAGGGTTCTTTTAGACATGTCTCACAGTGCATTTACATGGCAGATGATTGCTCAATATTGTTTACATTTGAATCCTTTATTATGTCTTACTGCATGGCAAAAACTAAAGTGCAGGAAAGAACCAAAGCAGAGGTTTGCCAAATAAGTACTTTTCAAGTTTATTTTTGAGTTTAGACGAAGGATTACTGAGCTTGCAGAGAAATCTGCTTATTCTTTGACAAGTCAACACCACTGACACGTGGTTCAGGATGACACAGCACTACATCTGCTACAAATGAGAAGTGGTTGCTGATGGTTACCGTTTTACCCCCCAAGAAAACTGAAAGTAGGCGGATGGTATTTTGTATGTGTGGTGGATGTTTTTAACAGTCTGTATTAAGCCTTTGCCTTAGCATGGACCTTTATTCTGATGGGTTAGTTTTATTAAAACAGAAACAAAGTGTATTAATAGACACAATTTGTGAGCCATGTTTTATAATGTATCTTATAGGGAATGGTGATTTAAAATGTTAAAACTTTTTGATTGTTGACCTTTTCATTTACCATCTGGGCTGATTTACCAGCAAATGCAGAGCATATGTGATAAAATAAATATTTCTTTAGTTGCTTCTGTGCATCTGCCATTTGTATTTCCATAAGCTCATAAAGTGGGGTGTGTTGTTTACAGATGTGATTGACTCGATCACTGCCTTGCAGCAGGACAGTGTGGATAATGATTCCTGCTTTGTCATTAATAAATAAACTAATAAATATTATCACTCTTTAAAATACACCTTTTATACTTAAGACCTTAATTATCTTGTGAAGATGACTGTTGGCCATGAAAATGCACTGGTTTATCATGAATGCTGAGTCACTGGCTGCTGTGCACAGATGGAAACTTTGTAAATCCCACTGCAGTGCTTACTTTTTATTCAGAAGTAAGCATTTAATAAATCGTCCTAAAACAATCTATACGTTACAGCAGTGTGTTTACAATTAGGGAAATCTTTTTTTTTTTTAAAGAAAGAAAAATCTACAATTTTTGGAGATACAAGGTTTTCATCTGAAAGCAGCAGACATCTTACATTACCTGGCATGTGCTGTACTACATCGTTTTCCTCATGTTTTTCCCCCATTCTGTCTGCATATCATTAAAAGAAAGAGAAAAAAAGAGCACAAATACAAATAAACCCACAATAGTGATCCACTCCTCTGTCTCTCTTTTTCTGTGTCAGGAGCTCATGAAGGGACAGAGGGGGTTTGCATGAAGGGGGCGGGGGGCAGACACCCAGAGGGGTATATACAGTACATAAAGCACGCATAACACTTTCCAAAAATACATTCACAAGAGAGCTAGTGATTAGCGATTGAGTAATCTAAAGAGGGAGACAGTGATACTTGATTAATGGAGGCATGAATGAAGTCCAGTTCTGTAACATTAACATCTGGAAAGACTCTGATAAAACCCTCTTGACACAGAGGAAACACTGACCAACACACACTTCCTAAAATAAGTGAAGGATCAGCACCTCTACCTTCACATTTATGATTTTAGGACTGAACTGAAATCGATACATTTTTAAATTGGCATCAAGTTGAAGCACACCAAAAGCGCTGTCCTCCTGCTAACATCCTAACCATTCAGGGGTGGATGAGGTGGTGGTTGCAGACAAACAGGCTGGACTGAGAAACTTATCTAAGCTTATCTACAACTCACTGATTTCATATCTTAACCTGTGATGCAACATTGCAGCTTGATGTGAAGTTTTCTCAGTTTACTCATGTATGTGTTTCCTCTGCATTTATCATGAATGCACCCTAATGCACTTCTCACTTACATTTTTGAACTCACGTCCATGCAGAATATTTGAAACTTGTGTTCCAAACATCCCTTTTTTGTGGCAAGAAAGTGAATTTTTATGCACACAGTATACTAACGTTTTGCTAACTAAATCAAGCCGTTCATACTTGATTGATTTGATGAAAAACAGCCCTCTAAAATTACAAAAGCAAAGTCAGGAAGTATTTTAAAATTATGATCTATTGTTTCAAATTAATAAATGATAGAGCTGAGGGGAGCAACTTGTTTTATGATTGTGAAATGGGTGCACTGAGTTCAGATTTATAATCTATGTGAGGGATGGTTTTACAGAGGATATTTTCCACACCACCTCCTGACATCAAAGGCTGATGAATAATGAACAGTGTGAGTAATTTTGACATTCCTCCTGTTAAGGCTGCATAGGTTCCTCTGCAGTTCCTTCACGACTGTGTGCACAGAGATCAGTCATGAAAGGAAATCAATCCATTATTTTACACAACAGTTTAAACTTATACAGTGAAAAGTGAGAATAATTCACTGTAAAAGTGAAGCAAGGATTACAAATGTAGTAAAAACAGTGAAAAGGACGTCAGAATGTATAAAAGCATTCAAGCACCAATCAGCTGTTTCCCAGCTACAAACTTCCCTGACAGGTTCTGGAGGAAGTGGGAGGGTGTTTGGATCCTGCGTTTAAGGCTTACTCAGCTTACCTGGCCCTCTGTCCTCAGTCAGCTCCACCCCTGTCGCCTGAGGGCTCTTTTCTTTCTGTTCCTCTGTCATTCTGTCCCTGCGGCCCTGCCACAGCTCCAGGAAGTGGTTTCAGGTGGGTGGAGCTCAGAGAGAGAAAGAAAGAGGAGTGAAACAGAGCGAGGGAAAAAGAGATAACCAGTGCAGGGGGTAAGTTACTGGGAGTGGTAGAGTGAGAACAAAGAAACAGGTTAGAAATATTTGTTTATATCAGTATTAGAGCTACAAACTTCAGGAACCAGTCAGCTTTTACTCTTCACTTTCCTCATCTTCCTCCCTCTCTACCCTGAAACTCTGGAGCAGAGAGGCTTAGCTGGGTGTGTTGTGCTTGTCTGTCAGGAATCAGACCAGCAGGTTGGATCCCAGTCTGGACCTCGCCTCTTTGAAGGTGTCCTCCATGTGTGCCTGGAGAGGCTCAGCCAGCTGGAGCTGTGGCTGCAGAAATCCCAGAGGAGTCTTCAAGCTGCCGGTGTTGCCGGTGTAGCAACTATGCAAGACAGCGTGGAACAACAACTGCTTACCTGTCAGGTAAGCTCCGCCCACCAGGGGGACCAGCCCCCTCCCAAAATTTACAAGAGACAAATGTTACCTCAGTTGTCTCTGTGCTGACTGTGTTGGCACACTTTACAAGCCCACATTACATTCATGCAGTCTTTTTTCAATATGATGAATTTCAAAGTCACATAGACGTAATACAGTTATTGTAATATTGTTTTTATTCAGGTTGTGTCAAAATTTGTTAAAATGTACTTATTTAACTTTTTTAAAGCTTTTTTAAGGACTGCAAAATATTCTGAGGAAGTCTACTAATGGACTCCACATAAACAACAAATAGATATCATTGACAAAAAGCTGTAGCACGGACATCTGAAAAACTTTAACCTCTTTAACCTTTGCCCTTACAATCACCAAATCAATGGGTTCTCATTTAAAAAATGCTAAACTACATCACATCTGGTAACTGCCATCAGGAATAAAAGCCTGCTTTGAAGCTATTATCGCTTTGTTAATCAAAGTTTTAATATTGTTTGACATAAATCAACAGAATAATTAATGCTATGCAGCAAGACCTATAACAAGACAGACTTTTCTTCTGACATTGTGATGATTCACAAAGAGATGCAAGGAGGAAATTATAGTTCCAAAATGTTGATACACTGTGTCAAATGTTATTATTGATGTGCAAATCTCATAAACCCACATTTTATTTACAATAGAGCATGGGAAACATATCATGTGTTCAAACTGTTCAAGTATTTTAACATTTCATGAAAAATGTTGGAGATTGACAGCAGCAGCATGTGTCAGAATATCAGCAAAGCACAAGGCCACAAATCCATAATGGATGCTCATAATCTTTGGGCCCAGAGGCAGAACTTCATTAAAAGATATGATATGATTTTGTCACTGAAATCACGGCATGTGCTCAGGAACACTTCATCATTGTCTCTGAACACAGCAAGACATGGCTTCTGCAAAATGCAGAGCTCTATCACGCAATGAAGAAGCCATATGTGAACATGACCCAGAAATGCTGCCGTCTTCTCAGGGCCAAAGTGCATTTTAAATAGACCGAGCAAAAGTAGAAAAGTGTTCTGTCATCAGACACACTGAAATTTGACATTTTGGTTTATAAGAAATGCAAATCAAAGCATCATTTTTGTTTTTTTATCTACATTTTACACAGCATTCCAACATTTTAGAATTTGGTTTGTAATAAATGCTACTGCTGAATGGAACTAGGAGGTGTTAGAGAACACACAACATTTCAATTTTTGATGATTTCTTTTGCTTTTCTTTTTTTATCATAGCAATTTATCGCCCTGCCCATATTTTGTTTCACATTGCGATATTTGAATATACAGAAAAGTGAAATGGAGTTTGCACTGGCAACACAGCCCAGTATGTAATGCAGTAGATGTGTATTACTTCTTCTTCAGAGAAGGGGTTAAGGAGAGCTTTTTATGACACAGAAACTGCTCTTCATGGATGCTTCTATTTGCCGTGTATTATTCTTCCCCCCTTGTGCTCATATCAAAGCTATTTCAGATGAGTCTGGTTGAGCAGAGTTCATTAACTGTTACCTACTTAGGTTTCTGTAATCTCTGTAGTTGGGTTCATGTTTTCTTGTTCAGCACAGATTGTCAATTCAAACCTCAGCAAAGTAAAAGAAAGACTTTCAGGTATGGAAGGCCTAACCTTACTGTTACTGACAGTCATTAAATTCCTAAAAACATGGCCTCTTTGGAATAGTTGCAAAGATCTTACTCTTCTTAAACTTTTTGATGCAGATGTCTGATTGGATATGACTATCGCTCTCATTCTTAAATGTGATTGTGGCTATAAACACATGGCATAAAACAATTTCATAGGTGCAGAGTTCATAGTGGTGCCTCCATGTGCCAGCTACTGTGTAGCTGCAGAGGTGGTGTCCAAAATGAAACATGAAAAAATCAACATGTCAGGAATAACCAAGTAGCAAAGCTTCACTAAGGCAGCTCACTCCCTGGGCAGTATTTACTTTTAAGAGTGTAATAGTATTGTATTTTGTATATAAACATATTATATTGGAGTAGGTAATGACTAACAGGTATTGTAAATCACATTTAGAGGTTTTAAAGCAGCATTACTTTTTCTGTTTAAACATTCAGTCAGCTGGGGCAATATAACAGCTTACAGTCAGTAGCATCATGCCCTAACAGGATTCAACATTATCTTTATTCAAGCTTTAGCAGGAATTTTCTATTCAAGGACTCCTGGCTTACCCTGAGAGTGTAACTTGAGCCTCCATTAAAGTTTCAGGCGTTAAACACATCTCACAGGCACACATCACATTTTAATGGAGCATTGCGTGCAAATAGCCACTGAGATGTATCTTCCTATTCAAATTAGCTCCGTCATGCATCACCCACATCTAACTTTGACATCATCAGTGTGCTCGGCATTTTTCATTTAAGCTGAGCTCCAGAGCTAAATCTTTGTTTTAATTGTTGTTTTTCATAGTGGTGTCAAAACAGAGCAGGAGGCGAGGTAATAAAGGAGTGAAAACAATAAAGAAAAGAAGGGCGTATCTAAGAGGTGGAGCTTCCAAGGCCAGCTTTCAAATAATGAAGTCCTGGCTGGTGAAAATGTTACACGTGAAACAGACAGTTAAAAAAATGAAAAGATTTAATGCTACTGTCTTTTATAAATAAACACAATGGAAATATCTTAAACTGATATAATTGATATAATTTTAAAAGAGAAATATTTCAAGTTGACATCAAAGAACTGAAGTTTTAACTGAAGTTAAAAGATGTTGAACAAATAAATGGTGTGTAAAATATCTGAAGGACATGTGCTAACAGGAGTTAAAAGGTCAGGTAAACTGTAAGAACTGTGAGAACCTGAACACTTATTTGTACTCCAAATACTGAAGCATGCTGAAATGTTAAAGTCTAAACAACACAGTTGAGAATTCATTGAAGTCTGAGTCATGGAAGAATTTTAAAGATCAGTGATAGTTAAATTATGGAAGGGAGGTGGAGAAACGCTAAGGGTGTCTAATAATACTCAGCTAAATGTAACCTGATATTCAAATGACTTGCAAACTAACTGTTCCACTCAAACACTACAAACAATAAACAAATTGCCAAAGAAGCAGGTGATCCAACTGGCAAATCTCATATTGGACAACTGCAAGCTGCTTTGCAACCTACCTACACTGCAGATGGACAAGTCTTCTTAGTGTGACCAAATGCGGCAAACCCCTCCACAAAGCGCCGGTAATAGCTGGCAAAACCCAAAAAGGATCGCAACTCTGACACAGAACGAGGACACTGCCATTTGGCTACTGCGTCAACCTTGGCTGGATCGGTCGAGACACCCTCGCAGGAGATTACATGGCCCAAGTAGTTAACCTTCTGCTGGAAAAAGGCACACTTTTCTAACTTAGCCTTGAGCCCCTGTTGCTGCAGCCTTGCCATCACCATCTCTAGCCGTTGCAGGTGCTGAGAGACAGACGAGGAGAACACAATGATGTCGTCTAGGTACAGCAGTAATGACTGGCATTGCTGATCCCCGAACATCCTCTGCATTAGGCGCTGGAAGGTACCAGGAGCATTGCACAGCCCGAATGGCATACGATTCCACTCGAACAGGCCAAACGGCGTGCAAAAAGCGGTCTTGGGCTTATCCTGCTCAGAAACTGGCACCTGGTTGTACCCGCTGGCCAGATCGATGGTAGAAAACCAGCGTGCGCCAGCTAGGGCATCCAGACTTTCCTCGATGCGAGGTAAGGGGAAGGCGTCCTTCCTTGTTTTGCTATTCAGCAAACGGTAGTCAACGCACAGACGGAGGCTTCCATCCTTCTTGCGGACCAACACGATGGGAGAGGCATACGGACTGCTACTTTCCCTAATTACCTGGGCCTCCAGTAGCTGGTTGATATGAGCCCTGACAGCCTCGTAATCAGAAGGAGGAATTCGCCTGTACCTCTGCCGGACAGGTGCGTCGTCGAGCAGTGGTATGTCATGCGAAATGAGGTTTGTGCAGCCCAAGTCTCCCTCATAAGTGGAGAAAACAGAGCTGTACTTCCGCAAAAGTAACCGTACCTCATGTTGCTCTGGCTCAGCGAGAGCAGACAGGTCAATCGTATCCACCATCTCTTGAGCAGGGCTGCTGGTTGTATGGGAGGAAACGGTAACGGGAAAAGAGTGTTCCTCGCTAACACCAGCAGGGAGGCTAACAACAGTAGCTTTGCTTATCACTCCCAAACGGGTCCGCGGGTGGAGAACAGCTTCCGCTGTCCCTACATTGGTGACTGGGATGTAGGCAACGCCCTTATCCACCTGGACCAAACATGGAGAGGCCAGCAACCCAACGGGCAACCCGGACTCAGAAGGTTCAAAAAGCACAGCCTGACCTGACAACTGCTGAGAACAAGTAGTGGCCACCAGCTGCATAACACCACCAGGTATCCGCACGGCCCGCGGGCCCTGTACCTTAACGGTACCGACAGGGTCCTCTGGGGCTTGGGCTGCAGACTGGTGACACTGATGTAAGGCCTCCAAAACTGGTCTCGGTGCCTGTGACACAGAAGGAGAATTAAACAAGGAGCCACCGAAAGCCCCAAACAGTTCTTGATAACAGCGGCGGATTACGTTCATTCCTAAGATGCCAGGGACAGAGGGCGTAGCCCCAGGAGGGTCCTTCACTATAAGGATTCCACAAGAGGGCATTTCCTTGCCACACAGGAGTACACTGAGCTCCAAATAGCCAATGTAAGGGATGGCAAGCCCATTGGCAGCCCGAAGCTGTAGCCAATGGCATGACTGAAGGCGTTCCTGTCCCCAAGGGGCAAAATGTGCCAAAAAGAAACTTTCTGTGATGGTGGAAACCATGGACCCAGTATCCACCAAACAAGGGACAGTTACCCCACTAATAAGCACATCCATCTTTGGACACGATGAAATTAGCCTGCCAATCCTATCTTTCTGTGAGCCAGTGAACTCCCCACCTGAACTGTGACTCTGCAGCTCAGATGGCGTTAGTTTTCCGACTGGGTAGCGGGAAGATGATTGCCAACTGCGGCATAAGGAGGGCCTGAATCAGAACCTGCTCTAGGGCGGCGTGAAGCCCGCTCCCCAGTGCACTCCCTAGCAAAGTGTCCTGGCTGCTGACACCGGCGACAAATCACCGAGCCAGCCCGTGAAGGCCGAACACTTCTTCGGGGGTTCTGTAAAGAAACCACTGTCTCAGTGAGCTGATTTAACTGCTCTTGTTGGCGCTTTAGGAGTTCCTTTAGCTCACGCCACTCGGACTCGGGTGTACCAACAGGAGCGAACCTAGGGCTAGTGTGCACTCCGCACTGAAAACCATATGCCGATGGTTGAGAATAGCCACGGTCGCGAACACCGCCTGAAAACCCTTCTCTTTCCCATCTAATTGCTTCCCCGCGCACCTCTAACAAGGTGGCAGTAGGCACACGGCGAACGTATTGTTTAAGCTCTCTGCGGAGACCACTATCGACCACATGTTCTACAAATTGGTCTCGGAGCAACACCTCTGCGTTACGCATACCATCAGGTGCACTTTGTTTTACTTGCTCCATCAGAGCCATTAGCGCTAAGGAAAACTCCTGCAAAGTCTCTCCCTCCCGCTGTCTCCTCGAAAAAAAAGCCTGCTGCAGAGTGACATAGGACTGCGCATTGCCATACAGTTCCTTTAAAATGGTCAACACCCGAGCAGGATCCCCTCGCTCTAAATTAGGGCGAAATTTGATCTCCTCCCTTGCTTCTCCCTCTAAATGGTCAAAAATAAAGAAAGCTTGATCAGCAACAGACAGGTGCCGGGCACGCATGCATGCTTGAACCTCTTCAACCCATTCAGCTATATTGATGCCCGTTCTACCATTGAACATGGGACATTTACGGTCCCTAGGCACCACCACCAGACGCTCTGTAACGGCGGCCTGGCTACCAACATTTGGTATGCAACCAGCTGGTACAGAAGAGGACGACGCGGCCCCACCACCAGACTCGAGCACAGCGCCCCCATCCCGGCGCAATTGCTCATTATCTGCCCTTAACTGCGCTACCAAGTCTCTAAGTTGCTGCAATTCTTCCTCCATAATAAATTTTGACCCAAAAAAAAGAAAATTAAATCAGCAAGGTGCTAAAATCCTACTACTCTTCCTTCTACCTGGATACTGCTGTCTTGTCTATAATCACACTTTAAAACAAATAGAGCCTTCAAACAGGTGAACTAGGATCGTTGCAAAAAAAAACAATTTACAAAACCGAACATCTACCTCAAATGTGCATCCTGTCGACCAACGCCAAGTATGTGACCAAGTGGTCGGCGGGGTTATGAACAAAATAAATAAACTTGACAACGCCACCTAGGGGAATTACACCCCCAGGAAATATATTTAAGAAAAATAAAGAAAAGGAATAAAAGAAGACCGCACAGATTCAAGGATGCACACTGAGGCAGGTTGGCTTCCAATATTAAAACAGTTTTATTTATAAAAATGAATAAAATATTATAAATAATATTTTATAAATAAAATATTAAAAGTCAAGATGTAGCGTCATTATTGACAGTGTCCTACAGTAAAAATAAACAATCGTGGAACTTGGACTTACCAGCAGCCGTGGAACCAAAAGAAAATCACACCACAAGAATCACTGCAGACCACCCAGTGCTGTACAAAAGAAAGTGTGAAAACGACCCACCACCTGAGGTCCCAGGGCCACTGGCTCGTCCTCCTTCACTGAAATAAAACACAGAAAAGTATGTTAAAAGAATAAAAGGACACTGAGCGTCAGGCTCGCTACAAATCATAAAAAGACTAAAACACACCTTAATAACTTTAATAAAAGAAATCTACACACACACACACACACAGGGAAAGGCTTATTCCCCACGGGTCAAACTACCACTCGTGCTGGTAATAATTATTCTCAGGCGTAGGCCGGTCTGGCTCCCCACCGGCTGAGACCGGCCACCCAGGTGATTTAGAGTCCCAGCACGACACTCGGGCAGAGAATCACTTCAGCCCGATCACAGAAGTATGGGTAGGAACAACAGCCCAGGGTAAAATAAAACACCAGGCGAACCCAAAAAAGGGTAAGCCTACTTAATAAAAACAAGATAAGACAAAACAAGACAAGACAGCAGACTCCACCAAGGAGGAGTTCACAACAGCAGCTGAGAAGGCAGTCCACTCTTCCAATTTAGGTTGGACAATTTACCATGGAGAGGTGAGTACAGCAGTGATCCCTGAAACAGATAAATGTAACCTTAAACTCTTATAGCTATGAATGCTAATAAAAGTAGTTCTAACGGCTTACCCCAGGACCGGAGGCACTATACTCTCATTGGTGGAGATACCACGAACACCTCTCTCCGCAATGGCAAAATTAAACAGACTGCTGCGCTACAACAGGCCGGAAAAAGATATTAACACCAATTCCAGTGTTCGGAGGGAATCTAAGGTTAAGCGAGAGCATACCTGTAGCTGTCATATAATCGGCTCTTGCTGATCAGTCCGTCGCAGTACGCCAGCATTTACTGCTGTATCGTACCAGAAGCTCGGGAGGAATTAATCCAACAAGACATCGGCTTAGCTTTATACAGGCTAGCGCCACCCTGCAATCAATGTGCAGGTGGGTTCCCAATTAACCCGATCACCTGATACAAGGAGCGAGTGCAGTGGAAAGAGAGCGAGGGTGGTAGAGCGAGCGAGA